TCCTGTGTTTGCTGCATCGCAAAATCGGTTCATTTTTTAAATACATCTCACAGTATTCTTCAGTAATTAAAATGCCTGTTTCTGTAAAAATGTTCTTGCGCCTGTAAAAATGTTTTTCTCTTATTATACCCAATTAACTTTAAGTGTATTAAGAGCGATAATTTTTAAATAACGATAGTTTGTTTTAACTAACTCTTTCCATAATGAATAAAGCGCTCCTGGATGATATCGATGATCTGGACTATGAACCAGATGGCGTTGAAAAACCACTGGAGGAAGTGCCGACTCCTGATCAAAATGGACGAGACTTGATTTTGGAATCGTATCATAAGTAATTTATTATTTATAGAAAAGTTTTGTGAAATAGCCAGTGGATTGTTTTTTTTTTTAGCTCTGAAACGCAGAATTTTAACTTTCAGCCATTAGTTTTTCCAAAATCAGCCTCAAGTATTCAAAGTTTTCGGTAAGTTCCAAACAAATATAGATTCTATCTTTGAAATACCTAAAATCGAGTTTTGCTGCCTGGACAGACTGAATGATATTTATTAATAGTCCAGGCAAAACGATATTCTTGTAATTTAAAAGTTATAAAATAATAACCGTGCATCCGAATCCATAGACGATCGGGTGATATTACATCCATACTTCTTACCATTAGGACAGAAATTATATTTATATTTCACTGTTATATTGCCTTCATGTACTTACATATTACGTATTTGCAGAGATTTTGATTATAAGCATCTAGACGTCGATATAGATCAAAATTCGTTTCGAACTCATTATAATTCATATGTGTCCAATTCAGAAAGGTCATACCATTTGGACTCTAGCGATGATGAGGAAAGTACTGTTCCATTTAGTAATTCCTCGTTTCAAGTATCTGGTAAGTCTACTATCAATGTTATACAATGGCTTCATTTCAAAACAAGCCACCCTAAATTGAAGAAATGCACAGTTTTGAAAAAGACATCAATTTAGATATTTTACAGAGTGTCTCTGAAATAAGACCCTTACCAGAAAATAAAACGATCGCTAGCGGTGCTTTTAAGCGGTGCAGCGCGTTCAGTGGTTTTTCTTTGGTTTTACTGAAGAGGAACTATAACAGACGCCGGTTGCGTTGTTTTAATGATAGGAATGAATGAAGTGGCAACATATTTTCAAAGCTACTGGGTCAGCCATAAATTATGACCGAATGACTTTTGCTCCTTTATATATGCAACGGCTGACAAAACCATTTAAATTAGTTTTTGGAAGAAAACGATCTTAATTTAAGAACATTTGTGCCAGCAACAACATGAAGTAGGCTTGGGTAATACTGTGTCTTAAGACACTTGTGCCGCTGTGTGTCTATCTGCCGCGACGCGATGCTTTGAACAACACTTCGGCCCACTCACACGGCAATCTACAGGGTACAATATGCAGGGCCCAATCTGTTAGAGTTGAGCAAGAAATGACTACCTTTAATGTTTTCACAGTGATTAATAAATCGTTAAGGGCAAGTAGAAATAAACAGTGATTTAAAATGTAATGGTTCCAAACTTGATATTAAAGATCGACTTAAATTTTCAATGCTAACGCTACTATTGCGAATTGCGTGTGGTGATCATATGTTGCACATGTGGCCCGGCGAAAGAATGAACTCAAATAAAATTCTTTTGTTCGCTAATGAAAGATTGATATTTTTAAGACCCTATTTCAGAATGCACCATTCGTTAGCCCAATTCTGATTGTGTATTTTTTAAATAATTTTCTGGAGATACACTTAGTGTTTCTGTTTTGTTCATTTTTCGAATTTAAATTGTTTCATATGTATTGTGCAAAGCGACAAAAAATTACTTTTTTGTGGACTTTTTTTTCTGCATTAGATGATAATTTTACAAAATGCAATTTATGCAAAGCGGAATTATCGAAATTTTAAAATTTAAATATTGTAAAACAACTGTGTCGAATTTGAAACGGCACATGGATGCACCATCCCACAATATCAAAAATTCTGAAAATTTTTGCGAAGAGTAGCAAAGTAATATTTTCGAACCTATTTTCACTCAAATAACGTTTTTTCAGATCAAAACTTAAAATCAAATATAGCTCGTGTAAAACAATTTTTGTTCCTATTTTATTTATTTTATTTCCTAAATGTTTTTAGAACTTTTAGAGTACATGGGTTTACAAAATGTGTAGCCAGTGGCTGTTTGCAGAGTGTCCTTATAATAATTTGTACTTTAAGTATAAAATATTGTTTGTTGTATACCTGAATAAGGTTGTTTATTTAAAAAATATGACTTACAAATGTTTTAAAATTGTTTCTGCAAGTGACGCACAATTGCCCAGCACCTTATGACGCTGCTATATCAGGAAAACGGCAGCCACAAGAGAAATCACATTCACAGATATAACATTGATGTTAAAATCACGCTTTAGCTCATCTCTACAATCTGTACAGAAATCGCGTCTATCCACCAGACGCAGCAATTTATCAGTGATGTTTTGCGCTGTGTGTGGCTCATTGAAGGCGTGAAAAAATTGGGATTGCGCTTGCAGCGCTAATAGCCGCTATAAATGAAAAGATAATAAAATTCTGGTCAAAATAATGGTTTTTGAAAAGAAGGGGATTTTGTAATTCCAATTTAATCAAGGAATTAGAACTCATGGACTTGACTAATCTGCCTAAAATAATCGATTATATCATCGAGACGACCAACCAGCCGATATCGGAAATATTATTCTTATTATATTATATTATATATGTATAATTGCCGTGTGGTAGGCCACTATAGGCCGGAACGTTGGCCTTCGAATATCAAGACACATTCGCCAAAAGTTAGAGATAAATTGACGCATCGACTTTACCATTGCCAGGCCGCTAACGGAGAAAATGTTGAACACTTATTGAAATAAAATTCCTAGAAGTTAAGCTGTTCTGAGTTTTTCTCAATTTTGTACAGCGTGACAAAAAAACAAAAAACTCATCAGATATTTAATTGGCAAGCGGTGGTAATACTGTGTCTTAAGATGTGCCGCGACACCTGGAAAGGAATAGCAAGTAATTTGGTCATAATTTATGGCTGAACCAGCAGCTTCGTAACCAATCACAGATACTTGTGAGACAAATGGGCTTTACAAGAAGAAAACATGTTGCTACTTCATTCCTTTCATTAAAACAACGCAACCGGCATCTGTCATAGTCTCTCTTAAGTAAAACCAAAGAAACAAACATTGAACGCGCTGCAACGCTAGCGAACTTACGAACCACTAGTCATCACGAAACACAACGTCTTCTGTTCTTATTTGCCGACATGTGAAAAGTGTTGCGCGCTGTATCAATACGGCACGCCGTGTCGGTGTCGCTGTGTGAACACCTGAAAATCCACCCAGTCACTAACATTTTCAGCAGTTGTTTTTATGTCTACATATGGACAATTTGATCTGATGTAGGCGTCCCAAATTTTGTGCCTATAGCTATGAAGGTTCAAAAAATAAAGGGGGGTCTTAGACAGACATAGACAAATTTAATGATTGATATTAAAAAACTGAATTATTTATCGAGTTGCGAATGAGTTGCCGCGCAAATAAAAATCTGGAGCCAATCAGGTTCATACAGCGAGCTCAAAAATATTAAAGTCTGTGATTAGTCCACAAAAATGGTTAACATGTTAAAAGAAAGTTCCTGTCTGGATGCGGCTCATTGAACATTAAAATGTTGATTTGAATGTTCTGCTTTATATTTAAATTGATGTTTTTCCAAAACAAATAGTAATTATCTAAGGTGGCTCGTGTTTGTTTTGATTGAAATAATTGAAAACACTGTTTGTATAAGATGTTAACTGGAATATATTCCACTTTGATTTTTACTCATACTTTTGAGAGCACAAATTTCTTGGAAAAATCCAACAATAGCGTTTTTTTATTAACTTAGCGCTGGGATGTATCCGTTATCGTTCTTTGATTTTATCATTATTGAAAAATCTATTGAGTCCTTCTATGCAGTCTGACCTTACCGACTTTCTATATTCAAAACCGAAAGAGGCTGCAAGTACACAAAGTACAACCGGCCCCTCAGCATGACGAAATATTAAGACTGTAGAATGGAAGTATTCAATACCACCCTCTATTTTGCATTCCTATATAACCACCCCGTCGGAGATTAACTCGTCTTCGTCGTCTCCCTAGCCGAAAAGCCCCAGGGCCAGACGGCATCCCTTATTTGCTCCTTAAAAACGTTTCGCGGAAAACTATTGTGCTAATAGTACAAACAGTCAACGCAGTCCTTAAATTGCAGCATTTCCCACAGGACTGGAAAACGCTATATTGGTTCCTATCTTAAGGCCGGGCAAAAACTCGGCTGATCCCGCTTCTTATAGGCCAATTTCTCTCCTGAACTCCTGGTCAAATTAATCGAGAAGGTATCCTATCGAGACTACAGGCAGGAGCCGAGCTTCGAAGTTTAATCCCGGATGAGGCCAAGACACAACACCACGCTGCAGCACTTAATAAGCTTCAAAGTACGGTAATGCTGCTTCTCGATATGGGAAGGGCCTTCGACACAGTTTGACACAAGCCTACTGTACAAGTTGTTTGCCGTGCACTCACTGCCACTCTACCTAGTTTCCCTTATAGCGTATTACCTAATAAACCGTACCATCCAGGTGAAAGTGGAGAATTCCACTTCTGCCAAAAGACGTATCGCGGCAGGAGTACCACAAGGTACAGTGATTTTGCCGTTGTTGTATACATTGTATACAGGGTTATTCACGCTATACGGCACGGACGTTTGCGGTTAGCCCGTTTGTTTTTTGCAAAGTATTATTTGATGAATCGACAGACGCCTATCGGGTGCACATTTTAAAAATATTTGCGTAATGTACAGAGTGTCCCAAAAGCCCTAAAAGTATCAAAGTTGTGTTTTTCTAAATGAAATACCCTATATACTATTGCATTTTTGGATTCTCTGAGCAAAATAAGTGTTTGTTTTAATAAGATTTGTAATGTCTAAATCTAAAGGTTTTTTAAATAATTCGAATTTTATCAAAATCTAATATTATTTTCATGTGTCAAATACTTG